TAACTATAAAAAGCTCCACTGTGTATAATATAAGTAGAGACAGAATGTGCCCACTGTGTTATTCAAGGACATGGTTAGCACGTTCAGCTCACTGTAATTCAGAGAGAGGAGCTACTATGCAAGCACTGAGTCTATAAATTATGTGAAATAAGGGGCAACCCGCTCAACTCCCATTAAGACTATAAAGACTGGGTGCTGGATCCTAAATGTGTTAAATCATAAAACAAAGGACTAGGACAGCCATTAAACTTTTATCATTGCCATTTCGGGCAAGACGCCCTTCTTCAGCGTGTATACAGTCGGGATGAGTGAGCACACCATTCTCTGTTCAACCAACAAAATGATCTGTATTTGCATCCGTACTCGGGTTAGGTTGCCTTGCTCAAGGGCACCTTGGCAATGGGCACAAGGGCACAGGAGGTGGAATTGGCACCTCTCCAGCTACCAGTCCACACTTCATATTTTGTGGTCTGTGGGACTTGAACTGGCAACACTCTGGTTCCCAAGCCAAGTCCCTACACACTGAGCTACTGCTGCCCCAGAGAAATGGAGATAAGCCTGAAGAATCCTCTCCTTGTTTGGGAAGGACACCCTCTTTGTTGCCTCAATAGTCTCTATCACTCTGCTGACAGCCGTGTCTGGAAAAAGGTTGAGGTTCTTAATGAGCTGAGCTGATGCTAGAAGGTGACGTCAAAATAATGTTGACCAATGATTGACAAGGGACATCCTGCACAAACCCCACATTTGTAAATAGCCAACCTACCATCAATAGTGACCACACTTTTTTTATCCCCTCAAAGATGGCAAAAAAAATGCAAACATTTCAAGAACATATTTCCTTTCATATCTTTTGCAAATTCACACCTGTGGCCCTTTGCTGCATGTCGTCCCCTCTTACTCCCTCTCTCCTTTCCTGTCCATCTCTCAAGCTGTCCCGGTCATAAATAAAGGCATAAAAAGCCAAATAAAATAACTTAAAACAATAAAAAATATGGGAATAAACTGTATCTACAGGCAAGCGCATTCCGTGCCCTCGATGTAGTAAAACGTGGCCTCAGTATTACAGTTGAGTTAAGTATCTGTTAAGAATAATGTACTTCCCAATCCAAAAAAAGCTAAATCCTGGAGGGGCTGATTTAGAGACCCCCCAAAATTTCACAAATCTTGTTTTCTGGGGAACTCATATCTTATTAAGAGGAGCCGAGCACCCTCCTGGTTCCCCTGTAGTAGCATCCTGTTCTTTAGCCCACAAATGTAATAATCCAGTACTCTAACATACAATCTTATCTGATTATATGATATTCATGCCTTTAAAATGTTTCCTTGAGCTGGACAAACAATTTGTGGACTGAAAGATTTTTTCTCATCTTGGTAAGTGAGCTCTCGACTTGTTAGCACATAACTTGGTAGCACATAAAACTGGCACGATACAAACAAAATTAGATTGATTGTTGTCTAATATATACAACACACAAATTCATGAAGCCTTCCTCATTTTTGAGGGCTTCCGTATATGGGCAGAGAGGGGACTGAGGAAAATTAGTGACTTATACAAAGAGCTCATGTCAACATTCCAAGAAAACAGTTCAATGTACCTGCAATTACACAGCTTTATTTACGCAAGTCAGAATTGAAACTATGACACTCAGTCCTCTCCTCGCTGGAGGAACAGGTCCCAAAGGACTGTCATAGTAAAGGCTTCATTTCTTCTTTCTATGATTTCTTAATTTCTGCTTCCCAAGTTAGAAGGATGGAGGATAGATCTGAATGAGGAAATAATGCTGGAGGATTGGAATATGGTTTGAGAAGATGTACAGAAACTGTAAATACCCGTCTGATACTATTGCAATATATTTGGTTCATGTGTATATATGTAACAGCAGTAACATTACAGTACTTTGACAACAATATACCAGACACGTACTAAGTGTGAGGAAAATAAAAGAACCCTGTATAATTGTATTTGGGAATGTCATAAAATAATGTTTTTTTGGAAAGAAGTAAAACATGTAATGGACAGGATCACTTCTGTAGAGGTCCCTCTTGATCCTAAGATTTACATTTTGAATTTGTACCTCTCAAACCTCAAACTAAGAAAGAAGGAATATATATTTACAGATATGTGTATCCCGCAAGCCAAACGGCTTATTGGTCTACTGGAAGAAAGCAAATAGGGCAAGTATCAAAGAATGGGTTAATAAAATGACATCATGTATGGTATTAGAGAAGATAACTTACATATTGAGAAATAGACAAAATGTGTTTGAGGAAACTGGAAACCTTTTGTTTCATTCCTCAGAGCAAGCATTAGAGCTACCCTACAAAAGAAACCCTATACTTAAAAGTGATACATATAAGCACCACCTCTGAGACAAGAATGGCAATGAGAGTACTAGAATGTACACTTTTAAAAATATATATATTTTTAACATATGTTTTCTTTATCTATTTTATCTTCTGTATGTCCATATATCAGATTTATGTATGGGTTACATTACAATCCACGTCTTTGGCTCATTGTATGCAAACAGGAGCACAGGCAGTGTTCCCAGTGTAGGACAACATCTCTTACCACATTCACACAGAAGATATTTTAGGAGGCCCTGAGGGTAAAGTTATCCCTGTGGTGGTTTTGCATGAACATGAGGAGTTGAGGCAGTGTGTAAGTATCCTGAATCATATTTCACATAATGGCCATAATGTCCATAAATAGTTTTCCTGGAATCCACCCTGAAGCACTAACCCAAGGGGAAAACATTGAACCTAGAAGTTATTTCGAAGAAGAAGGCCCATTATGATGTGTGCGACAGTTTTAGGAGAAAAAGCTCAAGCAAGAAGCCTGAGAGAAGATTTAATCAAACTAAGGCCATGTGTTCAACTTTTGTATTCAAATTTAGCTGTTGTTATAGAAAGCAGCAGAACATTTTCCTTTTCAGCCGGTGACACTCATCAGGCACATGCTGTAAGTTCACTTCATTTGCTTCATTCCAGACACGTTCAGCCAGAACTCCTTGATGGTGTTTGGTGCAGTAAGACCTCAGAATTGAACTACAAATGATTTGCAAAACCTATCCATCTGTTATCTGCAATAGACACAATTCTAAGTGACAACTTTATTTATGATAATAAATCATGAAGTGTGGCCGCACAAAGAAGAGTGTCCAATCTCTATAAATTGTAGCTCCCCCTGTCTGACCAAATACAATTCTACCATTGAATGTGTTGACTTCTGGCCACAGGAAATGAAGAATCAAAATATAAGAGTGAAATGCAATCTGACTCCCACACCCCACAGAGAGCAGCACTCTGTCCAGAAAAAGCTGCACTCAGCAATGTAAGACCTTTTCCACCTTCATTACTTTGCTCTCCTTTGGTATAAAGCATCTCAGACGAGAATGTTGTTCTGCTTACTGATATCACCTTAAAGAATTTCTGGGTATTGAAGTTCAAAAATTTTACACTTATCTCTTGCAGCCATTTGGACCTGCAAACAAACATGCTGAGTTGACCTGTGGTGCTTTAATCTAGAGTCATGAAATGTCACAGAAAAAAAAATCGAACAGCTTTTTAGAGACATCCAAGTCTAAAATCTGTTTCAACACGACACAAAAATGAAAGGTGAGGGAGGTGAGGATGTACAGTGTGCATTAGAGCAATACTACTCAAAGTTCTGAGAAATACACTTACTTGCCTTCTTGCTGAGAGTCAGTCTCATATCTGTAAAACTAAATTACAACCAGCAGTTTGATAGCTTAGCTTAGCATAAAGACAGGCAACAGGGAAACAACTTGCTTGTCTTTGTCCAACTGTAACAAAATCAACAGAAAAGGAGTAAAAATGACTGATTGGAGGTGAAACTGAAAGTGAGTGCACATGAGATGCCAGTTTTAGTCCCTCATTTCAAGGATTAACTGGATGTTTAAAACTCACTGTTTGGGTAATAGTTTTACTGTTTTAACCTTTCTTTTCTTCTACAAATAAGCTAGTCTAAAAGTCTGACCTTCTGTGTTTCTTGGTTGGCTCATTTCTTTTTAGCTATAGCACCACCAATAAACGGTGAGTTTGAGGTTATTACCAAAATGATACTCAAGACTATAAATAAAACCAGAGTTGTATTAAACCAGAATAATCCTTTGACTAGATGGGTGCTTTAGGTCAAATCCAAATAATTTTACTTTTCTCACATTTGTCCAAGTTTAAAACTTGTTTTTAAGTTTGAATTCTGGCCTTGCTCTCTTTCACAACTTGTCCTTGCTCTCTAATGTTGACTTACAGATGATTTCAGTTTAGGTTTGTCTTGTGCTTTTTCAATAGTTTGGCTGTCAATGAACTGTAATAGCCTTGGCCTTGTTTGTCATACTCAGGAGCTTTAGATGGCGAGGAACACTCATTCAAGTAATGTCTGTAGAAAGGTCTACACACTTAATACAGCTCCAAAAACCTAAAAGTAACTAAACACACAAAACACTTTTTCAGATGAAAACTTATCTATCTAACAATCTACACCTATAACAATAAAACTACTAATTGCATACAAGCAATACTGTATGTTTATGTTGACCTAATGATAGATGTTTTTTCCTTATTGGAAATGCAATCTTGACGAGTTTTTGTATGTGGATTTTGGCAGGCAGTGTTTGTCTCCTATTCCTGGTACTGTGTAATGGGAATAGTGGGTGGCGACCAACCAAAGGTGGGGAGTGGGCCACCTGCTCCTATAAAACCTCTCCATACTGTTCAGACTGTGGCCTGCTATGTAGCCGTAGCCTGACACTCCCCCACAGACCCTTTTACAAATGGCCATGAATGTGCTTCTAATGACTGTCAGTCGAGCTGACAGACACACAGTGTGACTGCAACTGCTAATGGTTGGTTAGATTGGTGTTACCTCCCTTTTTTTTAGTATAACCTTGTTTTCACTCCAAGCTACTTAATCCTCTGCCCAGAAACACTGATTTAAATATTAGAGAGCAATATGAACACACTCAATTAGTCAGGCAGTCATTCAGCACCAGTTTAATGATTTTCTATAAAGGTAGCAAAACCTACTACATATGGATGGATAGAAGGATGGAGGGACAGAGAAAATACCTGTAAGAGGAGCAGAGAGATTGATGGACACGAAGGGCAAAGAAACAAAGGAAGCAAAGAGAAAAGGTTGGAGAAAAGCAGACATAACGGAAAAACAGCCAAGGACAAATACAGAAATTCTTCAAAAGTTCTTTTGGAGAGCAGAAAATGCTGAGTCTGCACCATTTGAAAAGATTCTTCACTGAATGTATTGATATACAATGCAGAGCTTTTGTTTATGTCCACAGAAAAGTACAGCTATGTTATCTATATGTGCACAGAGCTTCAGTTCTGTAGCTTCATGCTTTCATCCCTGGAAATGTCCATCCTTCATCCATGATCCCAGATGTTTGGATCTCCATTCTGTTTGATGAGAAGCCAGAAGCAGCAACAGCAACGCCACTTTAAAGCCAGACCGGATTTTTTCATCTCTCAGCTTCACATATTGTAGGTGTGTGATGTATGTATGGAGTTTACCATATGTGTCACAGGGTCGTACATGTACACAATGGCTTTAGTCCTGCTACTCTGTTTCTCACACATAAAGCAAAGAACGTTCAGTACTGCATGCTACTTCTGCAAACAAACACATTTAGGGAGCGACATTTGGGTCGGAAAGCGGCAGAGAAGAGGGGTTTAATCAGTAACAATGAAATGTACAGCATGTTGTGTGGATGAATGATTAATTCAACAAGCTAATTTACACCACAGTGAGATATTTGATCTCTCTCTCTCTCACGCACACACACTTGCACACAACCTTGAACAAAGACAAACAATCACCATCTGCGATACATAGTGAGAAAGGGACAAACAATCCAGTTATATATTTCTCTATAGAGTTTATGTTGAGTTGTTTTTTGGGGTTTTTTTTCAGTTTACTGTGCATTTGACTTAAGGTGGAAATCCAGTATGTGACAGGATTTAGATTGCTGTTAGACTAGTCATTTTAAACAACACAGTATGTTTATTCTACTCAACCAATACACCTTATTCCTAGCCCCATGATACCATGTGTGGATTAGAACCAAAGTGTCACTTCACATCTGGTGAATATTCATGTCACTGTAACTTGGTTTTATTCATAGCCATAAAATTCTTCAAAGCTCTCTTCTCAACTGAGGACTTTCGTCTTTTGTTGAGCCGTGATTTTTAGTTCGTAACATTCTGCGGATTGTGGGTAATGGTGTTTGTTTAATGCTGCTAAAAAACAGAAATGACAACATGACTGTTGAGAAAGGCTGTGTTCCAGGGCTGGATCTGTAGTTGCGAGCGTAGTTAAAAATGTTGATGGGATTTTGAATGATGTGTTGTGACTTCTGTTTCAAAAAGTTTCACTTTAGTTCTCTATAAGGGGCTTCGTTCACTGAACTTTTTCCTTTTTTTCACATCTTTAGCATTTTGCTAATCCTCGCAGCTTACAGTTCAGTGAAAGGAGTTTGAGCCCATACTTCATGCAGGGCATCATGGGGCTATGAATAATGAGGATAAGGTGTAAAGCACAACTAATAGAAAATGTTAAAGCTTTAAAAGTAGCACTTGCAGGGCATATAGGACATTATCTATACACATATGAAATATATTACTGCTATATACAGTACATTGATATTCATAGAGCTGCAATTATTCACACTATACACAGTGATGTGACCCAACTCATTGTCAGTCTTTTTGTTTCTTGTAACAAAACAATGATTTGACTTCCCACATTTAAAAATAGCTGTTTCAATCCATCTGAGTGAGTGTGTGTGTGTGTGTGTGTGTGTGTGTGTGTGTGTGTGTGTGTGTGTGTGTGTGTGTGTGTGTGTGTGTGACAGAGTGAGGAGGCATTTAGATGTATTTAACTACTTTTTAGAATTATTTACTATCATCACCCTCTTCAGTCTTCACAAAATGCATCTTCAATGAAGTACACAGGTCAGGGCCATACTTATCTTGTACTTTCCCAAGTTTTTTTAGCCTCTAGTCATTTCTCTTTTGTCTTATCAGTTATTAAAACTGGGAGGTCGCAAGTTTGAGGTTTTAGTCTGAAAACACTGTCCTTTGCAGCCACTTGCTGTGGGCGAGTATATGAATCTGGTTCCCAGGTGAGAGTGTGTCTGTCTGTTGTGTCTCTAGTCTAATCCTTGCTGTTCAACTCAGACCCTCTGGTCAAAATGTCATGCATTTTTCACTATTGCCATCTGCCACGGCTCTCTCCCAGCCTAACTTGTGTTTGTTCACACTCGAAGTTGCTGGCGAGAGTGCTGTTAGTCGGCAAATGGACAGAATATTTGATGTCCTCTTAGTGACTCCTCTTCTCTCTGTTGGTTTGACCACTGCAATAAGGTATTATGTGCTTTAAAGTAAGTGTCCAACATTTGGGGAAATATTAGACTTATGCAGTGTCTGAAATGGACCAGTACTCACTGGTACTAAGTACCGCCACTACTGTTATTTGTCCACATGAGTACTCTTACTGGTGAGCATCGCTGTACCCACCACTGAGGTCACTGGACCTCCATTTTTTTGAGTGGTATACAATAAAAGTTGGGAAATAATTGCCTAAAAAGAATTACTTTGATGCCCCCAAACCCCCCCAGCAAGTACAGTTTTTGGACCTCATTATTTCTAAAACCCTGCATACAGCAATGCTGGTGAGGTACTCCCAAAGGCCTGTGTAACTGTGTCTCCATGTAAACACGTAGCTGGCTTGACACTAAGCACTGAAAATGTCCTTAAAATAAATTTGCTGCTGCTGAAGAATTAGGGTTATGTTGTGTTTAGGGTTAGGGTTGTGCTGAATGAAGGTACTGGCACCTCTTTGATTTTTATTCTTTACGTATCTCCAAAAGAAACACCACTCTGTAAGACCATGACTGCCAGTGGACTGTGTTTTTGCAGCTTAGCGTGACCAAAACTTTGTCACAGACACTGTCACTTTGAATTTCAGGAATCGGCATCTTTGATAAGGGATTTGAAAGGTCTTGAATTCAATAAAATGCTATCAAACCCCAGCCGTAAACATATTTATCCTATCCCGTAGAGAAAGAGCAAACTAAGAGTCTTGCGGAGGAGGGAGAAACTGCAAGTCGCAACATCTTTGTTGTGACATGAAGCAGAGGGTTTATGTAAAATGTCTTCATGTGAAGGAGCATTAGGGCTAACAACTGCATGATACAGAGGCTACCAATCGTCTCTGGCATTTGTTTGCAGTCATAACACCAAATATACTGGACCATTAATGTGACAATGATGTATTGGTGTTTAAGAATGTTTCCCTTTCTCCTGTAGTCGTTTCTGTCCAATTTAACCTATTTGTCTGAGCACCAAGCTTTTGCTGGAGGCGAAGAGATGTACAGTCCCAAACGCAGTGCTGGAAAATAATTCCCTGCTCTGCTCTGGTCAATAACGTTGCATTACCCCACAGCGTTATTGAAAACCACCACCAAATTGCATTTGTCCACCTGCCTTACATGAAACATATCTTCTCATAAAAGAGATTTTGTGAGGTTTTTTTTCGTGTTTTAGAGTACCTCTGCGCAAAGCAGACATTAAAATCTAATCTGAAGCAGTTATTTTCCCATAAAAACAAAGCTATCGGTGAGGTTATGATGACTGAACCCGCTATAGGCCTGTATTTATACAAGCACATCCAATCTGATTTTCCTATGTAGCCTCAAGTTTATGGTTTTCTCAGATTTAGCCTCAAGTGACAGCATCTTATCTGAGCTCTGCGGAGATTGCTTTCAAATTGCTGCACCTTGGTGAATCAGCCACTGAGGCCTCTAATTGCTAATTCTGTCAGTTTAATTAAAGTTCAAAACTACAGCAGCTTCTTTAAACCATCCAAGCATATCTCTGGGCTAAGTCCCTTATGTAAAGAAATAGCTGTGGGCTGATTGGAGGTTTTTATTTTTTCATTTTGTAAGAGTCCTCTCTTTATTTCTGCTCAGTTCCTTTAGCCTCTGCCAATCAGCTCCAGGGTTTATTCTCGACATCCCAGTCATTTAAATCCGGGGTCAAGATGTAAAATTGGTCAAAGCTTTATTTCTCTCAGAGCTTCTGTGTGACAAAAATAACGACATATTTAAATAAATGGAATATAATAAATGAATTCCACTTTTGACATTGAGGTCACAAACCAAATCAGATACGTCTCCAGATCCACTTGCCATACCTCTGTTTAACACAGCTCTGTAGGTGTGTCTAACGAACTTGCCACTGGCAAGGTAGACAGGCTCAATCAGTTGTGGTGAAACACTTTGGATCTCTTTGTCAAATACATTTTTATTTATTTCCACTTCTCATAAAGGGTGCGTATTGTTGCAGCCTTTAAGCATTTTGTTTTGTGCTTTTTCACATTCTAGCACAACTCTTTAAAGTCGGCCCAGCTTTGATTCATTTTATATGAAGAAAAAAAAGTAAAACTACAATCTAAAGCCCCCTGTGTAAAACACTCGCTGCTAGACAGGTGGATTCAATCTTCAACTAGGCAGAATGGTGTTTGTTTTCCAGGTGTACTCATCTCTCTCTCTCAGTCTGTCTCTAATCTGATAGTATTTCTGATCCTGGGCCAGACAGAAACAACTGTTACCCACAGCCACTTAGAATAACAAGCAGCTTCAGCGGGCCTGCAGGGCCAAACTACGACTCCTGGAGCATGAAATACACTTGGCATGCAAGAGGATCTTGATTCTGACTGGAGAACATATTGGTCCCATACTGTAAGGGTACAGTGCAGGATGCCAAGGAGGGGCCCCAGAGGATTTCATTCCTGGTAAAGCACCAAATAAAAACAACTCAAGTGCACTTCACTTTAACTAGCTCACAACTCATGTTGCTGCAGCAGCTTCAGAGGAAGCTGTTATGCTTTTTCGGGAAATAAGAAACATTTTTGCGCAATGTAATTTTCAGAATAAAAGAATAAAAATTGTATGTTCTATGTTTTCTCTATCTATATTTTTGTCTCTCAGTAAATATATTTCTTCAAAAAAGATATACTTTTCTTAAAGGTCCAGTATGAAACATTTAGGAGGATCTATTGGCAGAACTGGAAAATAATATTTATAGGTATGCTTTCATAAGTGTATAATTACCTTTTATCTACCGACCACCATGTTTCCACAGTAGCTCAGTGTGGACAAACTGACTGTAGACAGGAGCGTTGACGTTTTTCACATGTTTTTGGGCCCCCGTAGTTTCTCCTTCGTGCTTGGGTTGGGGGGTAAAGCAAGGGGGGTTTCATTCTGAGACTACACTGCTAGATGCCACTGAAGCCCACACACTGGACCTTTACATCTAATTTACTTATATATGGTCTAGTTTTCTAGAGAGTCTAATTTTAGAGTTCAAAGGACTTCAGAGAATTTTCCAGTACTGCAGTTGAGACTGAATGCAAATGTGCCTTCATCGCCTTTAATTTATTCAGTTTTTGTGGCCTTATTTGATCCTATGGGGCGACAGTACATATTCAGTATGAAGACAAATTGCAAGAGCCCTTATTCCCAGCTTGATGACATTGATATTTTAGATTCCCTTAGATGATGTTGTTTCTCAAACACAGCTAAAAAAACTAATTTTCATACCATCCAAAACAATGTTACTGCATCCCAAAGCAGTTACAGACATATCTGTACCCCCGTAGCCAATTTACAGTTCTGTACATGCCATAGCTAAGAACTTGTACTCAGGGAGACAATGTACGTCTTTTTGAGCACCCAATAGTTTTTTTATTTGGAGGAGAGTTGTCAGCAGTTGGCGGAAGTCCTAATCCATTTTTTGTTCTAGGGCCTTGAGCTTTTTCTAGTGATACCCCAAATTACGTTAGTATTTGTACATTATACTGAGCCAGGATTCTTGGGAGAAACTAAATTTAGTTAATATTAATCCTTGAAGGGAGAATTTAAAAAACCCTCTAGTCTCAAAAAACAGACTGAACTCCAAACTGCATTTGTACTTTGATTTGTGAGATTTAAACAACCAATAATGGCTCTTCAAGACCTTTTTTGTTTGATAGCAATCAAAATCATTAAGGACCCAGTGAAATGTCACTTAAGCTTCTGTAATGTGATGTACTTCTCACTCAGAAAAATGCAGGTAGGGATTTGCTCTAATTTGGGGAGTGATTGAAAAAGTGAGTGTGGCTTAGCAAGCATGGAGTGTCTGGAGAAGCATGGTGATTTGGAGCTGCACCCACAATGTGTTAATCCATGTTGTTAGATCAGGAAGTGACAAAGGAAAAATGACTAAATTACACTGTAACCACGCACTTTTGGAAATAAAAATGTAAACGTTTTTGCCAACTGATATCCAATCGCTCACCCCTCTCAGCTACTAGGCTTCAACTCATGAGCTAATACAAAGTGCAGTTAAAGGTCCAGTGTGTAGCATTTAGGTGGATCTACTGGAAGAAATTGAATATAATATTGATAGGTATCTGTTCATTAGTGTATAATCACCTGAAAATAAGAATTGTTATGTTTTTGTTACCTTAGAATGAGCCATATTTATCTACAGAAAGAGCGGGTCCTCTTTACGGAGGCTGCCATGTTGAATCGCTATGTTTCTATTGTAGGCCAGAACAGACAAACCAAACACTGGCTCTAGATGGGGACTTGAATTTTCACATTTTGCCGGCCCCCTAGTTTCTGCTACACACTTCACAGCCTGTTCTCTTTCCTAGATCAACAAATACAGTTGCTATCACCATTAGATACCACTAAACATCCTACACACTGGTCCTTTAAGTGTAGATGGTAGGGATTAGCTAGGCACTCAAATACTTGAAAATGCTGTTTTATGTATATTTGACAGACAGCAAGAGGTAACCGAACAATTAACGCAGAACGGATAAGCTTTGAAAATGTATGTTTATTTCACTGTGTCTTTAACTGTGCGTTGGGCACAGGTGTTTTTGAGGAAAATCTTGCTTTTGGTGGCATCTGGCCTCTTCATCACTTCATATTTATCAAGTAGGATATTATTGTTTCTCTCTTATTACAGTCAGTTAGACAGACTCCCCCTGGAACCGTCATATACAAGCACATACTAACTAAATGTAGGGAGTTGGGGGATAAAGACAGATGACACAAGGCTGCTGTATGCATCTGTTTAACTATGTATGTGTTTGCAGGCCTGTATGCACCGTGGTTGTGTATCTCTGTATGAATTGTGTGTGTGAGTCCAACAGAGAGACTAATTAAGAGGCAGAGAATATGCATGAAACGGCACAGGCAGTTTAAAGATACATTATCAAAAAGACTGCCGGGCCTCTGAACATGCAGTTAGAAATATTCAACCCCTGGCAGAGCAGAGGAAAGAAACAGTGGAAAGTCTATGGACTTGTGGGAGAAAAAATACACAAAGTTTATATCTATTCACACTAGTCCCATTTTTTTTAGGGTAGTTATATCCAAAGCAACAGCAGCAGCAGAGGAGACAGTAGGGCGAGAAGGTGGAAGCAGCCTGCCGGATGATCTGCGCGCCCTCTTAGAGACTCCTGGTTGATCTCTTCCTGATTGGGTGAGCCGTGCGGGGAGACTGAAGCCACCGGGTGGTTGTTGCGGTTGGAGCACATGTCATACAAGTTTCCGGAGAACTGCATCTTCTTGGATTCCTGGCGGAGAGATTCCCAGACAGCCGCCGCTTCTTCTGGACAGCCGGCCATTGCTACGTTGGCGCAGTCATGGAACTCATCCCATGACCTATGGAAAAAAGGAGGAGGAGACAGATGAAGAGACATGAGGGCACCTTCAGATCTGACTTGGAACACACAACGTGAAAAGCCAGAACTTGTAAAAAGCAAAAAAACAAATGAGTAAAAAGCTTATAGTAAGTCATAACAACAGTTTACATTGGAAAATAGTAAAATCCTTCCCATAATCTGGTAAAAAAAAAAATATTGGACAGCTTGAATTAAAATCACAACAGTGATTAAACAAACAGCTCTGAAAATAACTGATAAAGATGTAGTGACAGTGAAGCATTAGTCCTTTCACTGAGAAAATCAAATTCAATCTGTTTGTTTGGCCCCTTGACTTCTTTTTGCAGTTGCCAAGAGACCATCTGCTGATCTTCACTGCTCCGAGAGCAAAGGTCGCCCTGTGGGTTAGACTGAAACGTGGAAAAACCTTCATTAGTTCAGGGAATGGAAAGGCTGTCATGAACTGGGTGTTGAATCACTGCTGTGTTATATCCATCAGAAGCAAAACACTTTCTTAGTCCTGAGAAGAGTAACAATAAGGGGAAAAAAACAGAAAAACAGAGTAAAGAAGGAAGTAATCTTACAGAGAGCTCTCTTGGATATAAACATATTCTTTTAGTGAAACACAGCTTTAAACTTTATTCTAATAACCTTCAAGCTCCACATCCAAAGCTGAGTCTGTCTTGACTGTAATTGGCTGCTAATTCTTTCTCTCATCGTGAATGTGCTGGCTAAGTTGTCTCTGAGGAAATACTGGCTGAGTATTAACTAGAAGAAGAAAGAGGGAGGGCTGGTGGAGTAAGCAGATGGCTCTGTTCAACATTTGCCTGACACGGAACACTTACAGGACTTTAACACAAACAAAATGTTGCATATGATCAATACCATGAGGACCAGCACTTTCAGAACAGAGGAGCTTGCATTTATGTCATGCTAATGCACAATACATGTATTTTTGTCCTATATTGTCCAGTGTGTAACATATAGGAGCTATTGTCAAAAATGGCATATAAAATTCATAGTAGTGCTGTCAAACGATTAAAATATTTAATCGTGATTAATCGCATTAATGTCATAGTTAACTCACAATTAATTGCACATTTTTATCTATTCTAAATGTCCCTTGATTTCTTTTTGTCCCATTATTTTTTCTCATTGTAATACTCTTATCAACATGGAAAAGTGGATCAGCTTGCTTTGTGCAAATGTTGTTTTTATTGAATAATCATCCATTGTCGCCTGGCTTTGACGAGGGGGCGGAGAATTGGCATCAGCTGTGTGCTTGGCCATCAAGTGGTATTTCAGACTGGACGTGCTGCGATGATAGCTCAGTTCACAACGACAAAGCACACAGATCACTTTGGTCTTGTCAATGGAACCATTTGGCAACTTTTTAAAAGTAAACTTTCCATTCAGAATATTACTGGCATCCATTTCGGCGTCTCGCGCTCGCCATCCACTCAAAACGTAACATCTACTACTCTTAAACAAGTGTGTGCGGTGTGCCTGTTGTTTTGTTTCCGGTCTAGCTAGATCTGTGTGGTGTTGTAGTTTTTCTAACGTTACTAGTTGTTGCAACAGCATGTGAAAAAAACTACAAAGTGTGCTAGGCCAAAAAGAACGTTAATCTCACGATAAAAAAATTGCGATTTGGATACGTTAGAATGAGGTTTTTATCTACAGAGAGAGTGGGTGGCCTTCCGTGGTAGCCAAAAGCCCAAAACCAAAAGCTTAACAGTAAGTAAGGGGTTGTGACTCAGCGATGGTCAACTAGCGCAAACACTGGAAGCAGAAAAAAATACAGCTTCCGCCATTATTTTTTAAATATTAAATCAGTCTGAAAATTCTGTTATTCTTTGAGTTTTCATAAAAAAAAGATGTAAATGTGTACATTTCAGTATGGAATTATTTCTAAAGTGATGACTGTTGTCTAACAGCAGTTAGTCTGAGCTGTGCTATGGAGCATGTAAAAAGTAACTTATGAAAGGGGCACATCCCTCTGATGAGTTACTTTGTTTAAGTGTTACAGTAAGATTGTTAATTGCATGAATTTTCATAAAGCATGTAATGAAACATATTGATATATATATTGTTTTTCTGATAATAGCTCAGATAGATAAAACAAACACTGGCTGAAGATAGGGCTGCTCGCATTTTTCGTGCGTTTCGCAGCCACCGTAGTTTCCCCTTTGTGCTTGGAAAGGGAGGGTAAAGCGAGGAGGTTGCAACTACACCACAAGATGCCACTAAATCCAACACACTGGTCCTTTAACATAATCCCTGTACTTCTTTTTCCAATGCTGAGGAGTATATTTCTGTCACAGGTAAAACGTGCCTCTGCAATAGTGGTGAAAAATATAACAAGTTAAAGCAAAAATGTAGCAAAGTGTGAAGGCTGCATCTGAACGTGTTGCCATGACCATAATGGTTACAGCAGTTATCGGTTATATAGCCATATCCATAACCCTTGGCAAGGGAGGGTGAAGTGAGTGAATTGCAATCTGCAACTACATCGCTAGATGCCACTAAACACACTGTTTTTTAATACAGGAAATCTTGAACTATTTTTGTTGAGTTAGGTATTTGCAGATGAAGTGTTTAGCTAGCTGAATATATATATTGAATCAATTGCATTTGTATAAATATTGAATTTTACTAAATGTAACTGCATTAATAGCTTTGCAGCCATATATACGCTGGCTTTGAGAAATTCAATATATAATATATATAATATCTCAAATTTACAGCTGGAGGGCTGATGGGAATTCTTTTTCGATCGGCTGCTTATACTTAAACTGAAACTAATATCAAACTTCTGATCAGAGTTCTTTTTCGTCAAACACCAGGACTGTTACTTTACCCATATCAACATCTTTCAGTAACACAAAAGGCAGCTTTGCACAGTTTGGTCGTGTTCATTTGAACAGCAAAATCAATCTTCTTCAATTCAACGTGGGATACCAAAGGAAAGGTACACAAGAGAGACAAAGATTGAATGTATTGTTGGTGAGTCCAGCTGCCTCTGAATGGAGCAGTTTAGCAGTTTAGTTCACTGTAGTTAGAGAGGGATTGATCACCAGAATCTAATTCAGACAAATAAGATAAATCCTGATGGGATGCGACGCTCTCCTTTGCTGCAGTCCTACTCTGCGATGCCCCGAAGGTTTGTATCATTACTAATCTTGTAAAGTGTAGCTGTAATTCTCACCTAAATTGAACCCCTGAATCATATCGCTTACAAAATCCCTTAAAAAAGTAAGAAGTGAGAACATTTGCTCAGTTTGGAGGATATATCTTATCTGTGCTGTGTGTCATTTTGAGGACATTTGCTTCTGATCATAAGTACAGAAACGCAAGCACACAGACATACATATTTTCTATTTCCATCTGACAGATTCCAGTCATCTTCCCTCTTTGCTGTCACATACTGTACACATATATCAGTTCTTTAAACCCATCTTTAGCCACTTATGCAATCAATTTTGTGACTGTGTCGACACAGTGAGGAAGACACGCTCATGAACACACCCACATGCAGCTTTATAAAATGAACAGCAACCATCACCGCTGCAGGCCTGGCCTCCCTTGATGACTCTGCATGTGTGTCTGTGTGTGTGTGTTTGGCCTGTGCCCAGGTCTTAAACACTCCAGTGGTCCACCTCTGACAGAACGCTGCTGGAGGAGGACGTCTGCTTACCTGCTGCTGTGGGAGGAGCAGCTGATGATGGGGTGGGGGCTGTGGGGTGCCAGCATCTGGCTATCATCTGTGTACCTGAGTGTGTGCGTGTGTGTACGTGTAAGAGTGTGTCTAAGAGACAGCTAGAGGATGACAAAGTCAGAAAGAGAGAGAAATGCTGTCATGTGCAGTGGTGCAGTGTTTGTGTGGGTCTTCCTGCAGTGTGTGTGTGTGTGTGTGTGTGTGTGTGTGTGTGTGTGTGTGTTTGGGCGTAGGTGTGTGGGTCTTTGCTCAAGTCACAGGTGGTGCAGAGACAGCAAAAACACACTGAGGACACTGACAGACAACCAGCTGCTTTCACAATAATAAAACCTCCGGAGAGTATGTCTGTTCTGCAGCTAACATGCTGCTGCTGACATCCAAAAACCTCCAAACCCCAGTTCTGGGCTTATTTTTCGTTGTTTTTTTTTTTTACTTGAAATTACTGTACACAGCAATATGGTCATCTGGGTGCTCATGGCTCTATGTCACAAGATACATTTGCTGACATATGGGGCAATATTTAAAACACTTAGCTAAACAAAGTTGTTTCAGGAAATTGGAGAAGGCACTGGAGTGCAAGTGAGGAGAAGAGTGAAACACAGCAGAGTAGCACGAGAGATAATAGGGAACACGAGGAACAGAAAGGTGCAGTATGTTCAACTCCAGTGACACTGCACCTCGCACATCTGAGAAGAATGACTTAGGGTTTTTAACTATGGGGTCAAGACTTCACAAGGAGTTAGTTGATGTGTAAATGCAGAAGATCAGACAGTTTCAAGATACATTTGACCTCTGACCTCAATATATCTGAATGACAATGGGTTCTATCGGTCTTTTGGGCATGTGCTATAAATGTGTTATTTTCACCTAGTGTACGTGAATGTAGGGTCCATTAACAGTATTTGAATTACATAAATTGCGAATGATCTGAGACACATACTTGATGTCAACCCAGTCAAAAAAAGTCTGGAAACACCCCCGCATATATGTGGCCTTAAAACAGTAAATATTTGACACCTATCTAGCTCTGGACTCCCTGATTTATTTAGAATCACTGTCAGGTAGTGGTTGACCAATATAGGTTTTCACATTTAGAGAGCTGTCGTTGGCTGATATATAATGCTGATATCAAAAAAAGAAGGGTCATGCATAATTCTATTCTATAGGAAATTCAGGCAAATGTTTACAGCAGGATGCATGAGAGTTAAAGTACAGGACTCGAAACCAACTTTTCACCACCTCCCAAAACTGACAAGAGGGAGCACTGACATTGTTGCACAGCA